TTGCATGATCCAAGTTTAAGTGGGTTTGGTTGCAATACCAAACCCAATAATCTTGAATATGAGTTTGACTGCAAGATTATGTTATAAAAAGTGTGATAGTTAAATAGATTAATTAAAAAAAAACCAAACTAAAGAAAAAAAAGGAAAAAAACTGAATTAACTGGATTAACCCTTCAAACCAGGTTAATCCATCAAACCTAGGATCTGTATCATGAAAGTTTGATAACTAAATAAACAAATTAACGGGTTTACCTATAATTAACTGGGTTAACCCGTCAAATCAAGTTAACATATCAAACTTGGAATATATGTCATGAAAGTATGATAGTTAAATAGAAAGAAATTTAACATTAACAAACTAAACTAAATAAAAAAAATTAATTTAATATTAAGAAACTAAATTAAAAAAATTATTAAAAGAAAAAAAATTTAAAAACAACTATAGTTCTTTTTAGGATATGTAATAATAATAATAATAATAATAATAATAATAAAGTTTATGCCATGTTTGTTTCCTGGAAAGTAGTTTCCGGGAAATAACTTTCCAAACTTTCCTGTATTTGTTTGTTATTAGAAAAGTTGGTCAACGAAAAATAATTTCTAGTCAACAAAAAACAATTTTCAGTCAAAGAAAAATTTGGTTTAGTTTTTAGAAACTATTTTTCTTTTTGGTTGTGTTTGTTTTCCGGAAAGTGATTTCCAAGAAATCATTTTCCAAACTTTCCTGTGTTTGTTTGCTGTTAGAAAAGTTGGTTAACAGAATACACTTTCTAGTAAAAACGAAATGTTAATTACTATTATTTTAATTTCTTCATCTTTTTTTATTTGATCTTTATTATTTTGATTATTATTTATTTTATTTGAGATAATTTATGAAATTATATTTTTTTCAATTTCGTTCTTATTCACCTTTTTTATTTGTAAGATTTGTTTCTTATTATTTTAATAAACTTGAAAAAAAATAAAACATTAATAAATTAATTTTCAGTTTATTTTTTATAATATAACCAAATACTGAAAAGTGTTTTCTAATTTATTTTTTATAATATTACCGAACATCAAAAAATAATTCACTTTTTAAAAATTTACTTTCTCTAAAATTTAATTTTAAAAAAATAAGTTTTCTTTAAACAAACAAAAAGTTAAATATGTTATAATATAATAAAATAATAGAATAGAATAATAATAATAATATATTAATAATGAGGAAAGTTAAAATGCGGGGAAAATAACAAAAGACAGCTACAGTATTTTTAGGATATGTGATAATATAATATAATAATAGTAATAATAATAATTATAATATAATATATTAATAATAAAAAAAGAAGAAGTTAAAAGGCACGGGGATGGTTACAGTAATTTCCTTGATTAATAATGCATTACATGGACAAATTGTCCTTTTATTGGCCGAAGTAATCGTACTGATCTCAAATTCTGTGTTAACAAATACCAAACACAAAGTTGACATGAGCTCCCATGTTCAATTACAAAAGAAAAACAACGTACTTCATATCAGCTTCATAAAATTAATTAATTATTATTTCAAAATTAAAGAAAAAGTATTTTAGAGATATTTATTTTATAACTCTATCTTTGAAATGAAATATGTTTTTATATTTATTTTTTTTTTAAATTTTTACCTTGGGATAGTAACAAAATAATGCCTTACATGTCCATTAATAAAAAAAATCACTATCAAATTGGTATATGAGGATGATAGGCCAGGCGGTAAGCCACAGGATCTGGATCTTTCTTCTGATCTCCTGCTGGCTTCGTCGGCCTCTCATCTTTTTTCTTCTCAGGCTATTTTGCTGGTCCGACTGTAACTATTTCAGTGCAAAACAGCTTTCTCAGTTTGGACACTATGCATACTGGATCAATGTCCCCTGTCACTGTCATCTTCTTGTCCTTCATGTCGATGGATAATGAATTCACCCCTGCAAATTTGAATCACAAATTAAATCACTAGTTTTTTTTATAAAAAATATATCATAAATACTTCCAACGTTGATCTTGATTTATTAGATAATTAATGACCATATATATAGCAATAAATAAATTCAATGCCTGAAAAACCAGAGACTGTCTTCATGGCTTTTTTCTTGGCTTTCTCATCATGCAACTCCACTTTCAGCACAGCTTTCTGCGACAAAATAAGTTCATGTAAATTTTGTTATGAATCAATATCAAGAATTCAGTGGCGGAGCCGCAGTGGGAATTAAGGGGGCAATTGCCCCCTTAATTCTTTTTTTAATATTTTTTATATTAAAATTTTAATATAATAATTTCACAAGCTTTTCTTCTTTTTTTTAAAAAAAAAATTATTGTTCATACCTCCTTTTTCTTCTACAATTTTTTTTTTAAAATTCTAAACTATTAATTAATTAAATAATTTTTTATACTTTATGTTTAATTTTCTTCTATAATAATTTCATAAGTTTCTTTTATTTATTTATTTATTTATTTAATTTTAGTTCTATTCTTTAATAATATAATAATTTATAGATTTGCTTAATTAATATATATATATATATATATAAAGAATATGAATTGAAATAGAATTTAATAAATTAATATATATTTTATTATGAATTTCATATAAAAAATGATGATAATCAATGTATTAATAATTAAAAATAAAATACCGAATAACTAAAAAAATTAGAGATATAATAAAAAATTAAAAAATATATTAATATTTATATTTAACTCTTTATGTAAAATAACAAATTAATAAAAAATTATTGTCAATAATTTCACCAGTTTCTAAAAAAAAACATTTTAATAAATTAATGAAACCTTTATTATATATTCTTAATAAAATCATTATTAAACAATTTTAAAATATAAAAACTTGAAAAAATAATTATAATATTAATTTTTATTTTAAAAATATTCTTAAATTAATTTTGCTTAACATTTAACAGTTACATATATTTCAAATTCAAATTGATTTCTTTATATATAATATATATTTATATAATATATAATTTAAAATATTTAAAATTTATTTTCTAATTTAAATTTTTTTTACTTCAAAAAACAGTAATCACTTGAAATCAATACCAAATAATCTCATAGAAATATTAACCAAGACAAACCGGAGCAACCAAAACTCACTGAATTATGTTGAGCTACCAAAACTCACTGAATTATGAAAAAGAAGCAAGATTTTCCTCAAAATAAGTAAATCAACATAAAGAAAAAGAAAAAGGAAAAGAAAAGAACCTGGCTCATGATTCTTCATGCATGGACACAAGTCATCTAAAAGAATACATACATACATACATGCATACATATAGAGAGAGAGAGAGAGATGATTCTCACCTTCATTTCCATAGCTTAGAGAGATGTGATCAAAGAAAAAGTTGAGATCAAACGGTAAATAAAGAAGGTTTGAGGTGAAGAGGTAAGGCGAGAGGAGGAGCTAAAAAAACTCGGTGATGAGGTGAAGAGTTCTTCGTGTGGGGTTTTATAGAGGGAGTGAGGAGAGAACAGTGAGTCAAGCTGGGGACGGGGGTTTATGGTCACTGAACTTAAAATTGTAGAACCATTAAAGGAAAGCGCTTTGGTGTTTCTGGCGCGGAGATTAATTTCGTTTCTAATTTGTTTACCGGAAAATAATTGTTTTTTACAAGTGATTTCTTTAAAAAATAAATCTTTAAAAATTAATATATTTTCTAATATTTGATAGTATTATAAAAAATAAAATAAAATTTTTTTTTAGTGTTTAACTATGTCATGAAAAATAAATTGTTAATATTTTTTTTAAGTTTATTACAATGAGAAACAAATCTTGCAAATTAATAAATTTGAATGAAAATAAAATTTTAAAAAAAATATAATTTCATAAACTATCTCAAATGAAATAAATAATAATTAAAATAATAGAGATCCAATCTAACAGATAGAAAAATTGAAAGATAATAAAATTAAAAAATATATTTTTATAAATTATTTCAAATAAAATAAATAATAATTAAAAGAATGAGGATCAAAGTTGATATAAAAATTATATTTTAAATGATGAAATTAAAGAAAAAAGATTTCAAAAAATATATATAGTAATCAAAAGTTTGAAAACCAAATTTAACATAATTAAAAAATAATATGATATTTTTAAATTTTTCATAACTTCTAAAAAGTGTTTTCCATGCAAAATAAAGAAAAATACTTTTATAAAAATTAAACTATATTTTTTTTACTTAACAGTATTTTTCATTGATCTAATAACAAATAAACATAAACAAATTTCAAAAGTGATTTTTCAAAAAATCACTTTTCATGGTATAAATAACCTTATCATTTTACTTTCTAAGAATATATTTTTTTCATTTCTTTTCATTTCTAAGTTTTTTGGATAAAAAGATAAACCATTCAAATCAAAGTAGTAAAAATAATGTAGATTTTGCTTCCTAATGATTGTTAAATGCCAACTCTGTGATAGTTAGCTTATTACATGTTTTAGATGTTAGGATCTGTTTGTTTATATGGTTGCGGCTGTATTTTAATTAAAACGCAGCTTGCAACTGTTTGATTAAGGAAAAAATATAGTATAAAAAACTTTAAAATAGTAAACAGTGCAATTCTCTTGCACTACGTGAACATTTTTTTTAGTGTAGTAATTTTTTTAATATCTTTTTAAAAAATTAATCTAAATTGAATTTTATATCTAATAATATTTTGTCTAATTTTATTACATGCAAAACAAATTATAAAAATTGTAGTTCTTGTTGGATGTATTTCATGTGTAATGAAATTGTAGATGGTTTCATGGAATAATAAAAAATAGTTTATATAAAATATGATTTATTTCATGATATATACCAATAATTAAATTCACAATATTTAAATTTTAAATTACCAAGATTAATATATATTTTTTAAATTATTTTATAACCTCAATTTCAAAAGCATTCTTAACTAAATACATTAAACTATTTTTTTCAACCTCAATTTCAACTATAGTTTTAAGCAAACATCTATTTTTTCAAACTAACCTCAATTAAAAGTATTTTTTATAAAATATTTTTTTTCAAATCACAACCATAACAGCTACCGCAATACCAAACACACATTTACTAGATGTCATGCTCATGTAATAATACGGGTTTGTGATATGCTTGTGTGTTGTCATGAGTTTGTGGGAAAAAACATTATATGAAGAAAAATTATTGCAATCCACAATGTTTTGAAAAAAAACTACAAAGTTAAATTCTTAACCAGTTTAATATTAAAAAAAATCAATAAAAAACTTTTTAGAAACAATTATAAAAAAAACAAAAGGAAAAGAAAACGATGCAGGGAAAGACTGTAGCAATCTATAATATTTCATGATGACATATGTAGTTGTAATTTTTAATAAACTCAATATCAAAAATAATAAAATTGATAAAGATAATTTTTTAAAAAATTATAAAAAATATGTGAGGAAACATTGTATCAAACCGTAGTGTTTTAATAAAAAAAACTACAAAGCTAAATTATCAACTAACTCAATATAAAAAAAATAAAATCAACAAAAATAATTTAAAAAAAAAAGAAATCATAAAAAAAGAAAAAGAAACCATACGAAGAAACACTATAACAATCCACGATATTTAAAAGAACAATACAAAGCAAAATTTCCAAACAGTTTCATATTAAAAAAAAAATAACTATGAAAAAAAAAGAAGATAATTTTGGAAAAAAACAAAAAAAAACACATGCGAGGAAAGTTAAAACTAAATTATCAGCTAGTTCAATAATAATAAAAAATTGATAAAAATAATTAAAAAAAACAAGTGGAGAAATATTGTAGCAAAACAAAAACTTTGTGAGAAAACATTATAACAATTCATAGTATTTTAAAGAAAAAAATCCACGAAGCAAAATTCTCAACCAAGTTATAAGAAAAAAATAAAATCAATATAGACTATTGTGAAAAAATAACAGAATTCATAAAAAATGTTATATAGAAAAATATTGTAGTAACTCATAATATTTTTTTAAAAAATTACATTACTAAATTCTCATCCAGTTTAATATTAAAAAAATCAAGAAAAATAATTTAAAAAAAACAAAAGAAGAAGAAGGGGAAAAAAGAAAAAAACATGTAAAATAAAAAAAAATATAGGGGAAAATGAAAAAAAAATATGGGGAAAAAAAGAAAATAAACAACAACAAAAAATCAAAACTAAAAGAAAACATTGAGAAAAGTTACGGAATTTTTCCCACTTCTTTTAAAATATTTGTTAATGATTCCTCATCCGATTACATCTACATTGGACCTTATTTTATATTAAAATTGTTTTTAGCTGTTCCTATAGTCAAAATGATAAATCTAGATAACCTCCATAAGAAATCAAACTAAGGGTAATCTAATAAAAAAATTAAATTTTATTTAAAATAATATTTTTTAATTTAAAAAATTATTCAAAATAACATGGTTTCCTTAACCAGCCCAACCTGTGACTAAAGTGGCGGTCATGGGCGGAGGCTCCTAACTGTGGAGTCAAGTCAATTACAAAGGAACTCCATTTCCTATTTCTCGGAGACAGCTCTCCAGTCTCTGGTCATGAATGCATGATATCTTCATTTCCTTGAATCAAGGAGAAACAGATCTGTTCTTTGCTTTGCTTTCAATCGGACGTTAGGAAAGTTCCAGAGAATGCCAAAAAAGGTGAATATGCGGCTGCGTCTGAGGTTAAAGTAAGCCCTGTTTTTTTAGTTTAACGTGGTTATTCAGGCAGCAAATTATGATTAATTTTATTGATTAAAAAATTAATGATTAAATTTTTAATAATTATTATATAAATAATTAAGAATTTAAACATGAAATTAAAAAAAAACAAATCTCTTAATCCTAAATTTTCACGACCGTGCTGCACCTGTGGTTGAATAAAAGTTGGAAAATTAAGCTTTTCCTGTTGCTTAAGATAACATGGAAGTATTGGAGCGTGTGACCAAGACAAACAATCATTTTGAAGCAGTTATTTTCACTTTCTTTGTAGCATCATCATCATGTATAAATTAATTATTATTACTATTATACAAATATAAAAACGGTCAAATTGAATTTTTTAATAAATCTGTAATTTTTTGGGTTTTATCAAGAGATATGTATATAACTTTTCACTTAGATTATTTATTATTATGTTTTTAATCTTTTAACTTTATGTGATTTTAAAGTGATGAACAACTAAAAAATCAACAATAAATTTTTAATTATATATACTCATTACTCTATAACATGATAAAATATTTTTTTAAAGTATGAAAAAAAAATAAAAAATTTTATAAAATATATTTGTTTATCCATATAAAACATAACAATTGTAACGACATCAATGATACTATATAATTATATTAAAAAAATCACATGATAACATAATATTTGTAGAATTTAATTTCAATTTTAATTTTATTCTTAATAATATTTTATTTGATGTTGTTGCATGCTCATGAAGTTGTGATACCTTAAAGTCTAACCAAATGAATTTTATATATGATAGAATTATAGATAGTGTAATGAATTAATAAAAAATATTTTATATTAATTATTGTTTATTTGTATGATGTGCAATAGTTAAATATATAATATTATAATTAAAAATTATTAATATTAATATATGTTTTATTAATTATTTTATAATTTTAATTTAAAAATTATTTTTAACCCATCACATTAATTTATATTTTATTTAACCTTAATTTAATAATAATCATAACTAAAATTATATTTTATAATTGTCACGGTATCGACAATTAATAGATTCACAGAACATGCATGGGGGTTTGTGGCCACGGAAAGTCAACGAGGATGGCGCTTTACTTTACTATACTAACCCGCTTGTCGAGCACATGGCAATACCAGGGAAGAACCCCGAGGGAAATTTGTATCCTCAAACTTTGAAGGGATTTACATCATGGTACAATAATTTATAGAAGCTGTTTATTCCACCCTTCCAAGAATTATCTCCCGTAACCCTTTCTTGCTTTATTTTCAGTTTTTCTCTGATTTTTTTCTGAGGTTATAATTAGTCTGTATTTCTTGTTTCCATTTTCGCATTCTGTGATTGACATGTCCTGTAATTAATTAAGAGCTTATTGAAATTAATAATTAATTAACTAGCTATCTCCTTATTAAACAACCCATCACAAACCAATAATTGTTCAGTAGCTTTGTTGTTCTAATTAAAAAAGCTATCCCTATGTTTTTCATTTTCTATTTCTTGAAAAGGAAAAAAAACAACAAATTAAAAAGAAACATATATAGAACTGGCTACAGGAATAAGTTTTATATATGTAAATTCAAAATATAAAAACTAAATGCATAATTAATTTATGAACCATGAGCATCAGTTAATTTGTTAGGCTATGAGGACTAGGTTATCAATCTATGAACGATAAAATTAGAAGTTGATACTCCCAATAAATGATCTGTATCTTAACTGGATCAATTCTGAGTTTTTTATAACTGTGCATGGAATCTCATGTAGTTGGTCTGA